GCAGACCTCGCCGACGGAAGCGGAAGAAGAATTAAGAAAATTTTCATCCATCCAATGATGCAAATCACTGACGCAAATGGTTTTGTTCTCACCGTTAGATGCGTTTTGGTGCTTGTTGTTACCACCACCATGATGGCTATTAATACTTAAATTCCTAGTCGAGTAGATAAAATTTCTCGAGATTGATAATATGCTAGGGTAGAAACACGAAATGCTAGGACGCAAGGCATAAGGTATAGCTAGAGGCTATCTCCCCAAGATAAAAAAGTTTTTACAAGGACAAGATTCACTTCCTAGTTAGAGGAAACCGACATTGTCTAACACTAGGTACTAAGAGATTAATTGCTAGAACACCATCACAATCTGGCTGATTTTTACTATGACAAACAAGTGGTAGAATGCAGCGGACGTTACTTTATTATGCTTACACAGAGAGAGAAAATTAAATTTGTCAGAGGTAAGTTGAAATAATTGAGACTTGCCACTTGTTAAGTCTAGTTACTCTGATAATTGAGATAAGTTGTTTTAATAATCTGAGTAGTTATACATTTCCTTATCATCAATCAAGTGTGTCATCCTAATTACTCCATCGTATAGGGAGAAAGTGAAGAATGGTTTGTGAGTCAATAAGCCAACAAGATTAATGCAGAATCTTTTCCATAGAGGAAGACTTATGAAAAATTTTACATTGATACTTGGAGGATGAATTTTAACGATCTACTTCCATAAATAAAGATCTTTAGATCGCAACCTTCATAAAAGTCTTCAAGATTATCGATTTGTACATAAGGATTTGGAGGCCAAGATAATTTGAAGTGTGGAAAAGATAAGAAATTTGACAGTGTGTTGGAACTAATCCAACTGTAAAAATATAACGTTCGATGTGTGGGATCAATTTAAAGATATGTTGAAGACCATTATTTGAACTTCAAATAAAGAAAAGAAAGTATTTTGGTGAAATGGTGTAAACCGCAAAACTCATGCTCCATATAAGGATTTTTCGGAAGATTGCAGAATGTCCACCTTGTATTTTTGATTTATTATGGTCGACAAGAACTTGAGAGATTTGATTTAACAAAAAAAATTAACAATGCATAAATGCCAAGTTGAGCAAAGGAACTAAGGATCTAAGGAGAAACTGTGGAAAAAATCATAGATAGAAAGAAAATGAGATGGTTGGTTTGAGTTGAGGAGTGGGAAAGATTTCCATGGTCATGTCACCAAAAATAACAAAATAAATTTCTTGCAAAATTTTAGCTAAATTCGAGCTTGCTTTCCCAACCAAACAATACAAATTATATGAATGGTTAGATTTTGAAAGTTTCACTCATATGATTTATTTTGTTTGTCCATTTCTATTCTCTATTGAACTAGTTAGGTATGCCCTTTTTTTTAGGCGACCACATCGACTACTCTCCATAGCAGCGGCTCTGACGAGATTTCAACAAGGTTTTTGACATGTGGGGTTTAAGCCTTTAAGTTTTATAAATGCTTAGAGTTTACAATACGAACCTTATATCATGGGATTTAAGGTTTAGAGTTTTTTTTACAACAATATATATATGGATCGTGTTTAGAGGGTTTGAAATTTCTCCTCTTGAAATGAATTCATCTTCAAATTCATGGGACTGCTTTTCTCTTCTTTTGTTTATGACCAAACTTTAAAATGTCATCCTCCTACGTATTCTACTAGGTCCTCCAATTATGTCATCGACTAGTTGACAATGATGAACCACTAATCACACTTTTTTTAGTTAGTTTTACCATTTGGTTGAACTCCAATCTCAATTACCAGTTTGTGAGAATTGTTACTCTCCACATCTTATTTTCATTTGGAGAATCCTTGTAGAATATTTTCTTACCGTTAGCATACAGTGGAGCTCATAGATACTTTTTAGGAGTAAAAGCCTAAAGTATCGTAACTTATAAATTCTGAAGCTTACTGCAAACGTTCTTAAGTAGTGTTTGGTGCACCATGGTGATATGGTTTGGGCTTTACGCCTTGTACCACGGGGCACAAAGCCGCGTCCCTTGCATATCAAATTATTAGGCAGCGTTAAAAAGAAGATAATATGTAAGAAACTTAAAATAAAATCCAAACATCCAAATCCAAAATACTAAAACACCAAAGCATCAAATCAAGTATACTAAAACACCAAATCTAAACTACTAAAAAAGAAAGAAAATAGCATAAATATAATTTTTCTTAAAGATAGAAAGATAATCTAATATTCTAATAATCATAACCAATATCATCATGATAATTATACTCCAACTCATCACGTAACAGAATTCAACAGCTCCTAAATCTTCTTCCATCTCTTCACCATTAAAACCATAAGCTTCTTGAGTTGGTTGATTTGAACTACCAGCAACTCCCTTTCCTTTATCAACTTCACTAGATGAACTGTTTGATCCTCTAGTAAAATAGCTAGGCTTTTTAGCACCTATGACTTGGCGCACGACATTCCATGTCAAGTCATTAATTATCTTCAAAACATAAGATTATCGAATGCATCATTAGAAGAGTTCCCATCCATTTTTTTTTCTTCTAATCAGCTACTCATTGCTTTCATCATTCTCTTCCAAGAAAATATGATCAATGGTATCACTTCTCTGGTTTCACCGTTGCAGATCTT